TGTGACAGAGAATGTGAGTGGATCCTTCTGGGAATGGTGTTGAGAGTAGTATACGGAGCTGCCTACTGCAGTGGGCCAAGCAAGAGATGATGGCAGCTGGGACTAGGTTAATAGGTAGGGAACTCTAAAGCTGGGGGGAGGGCAAGTGGAGAGAACCCAATCAAAAGTCCTACTGGGCACCAATCAATGTATGAAACAAAAGATGAATTGTCAGCAAGAGAGAGGTATAAGACACAGTCTCTCGGACAAAGCTGATGAGAGTAATTCAGGGATAGGTGGACTTTCATTAGTGGGATTGTTTGGGGATTGGTGGATTGATGTTAGCTGTGGGAATGTGTCTGTCGCTTATTGCCCGGCTCTCAGATGCTCCTGCACGGATGAAAAACTGTCATTTATTGTTTTGGCCAGGTTAAAACTGGTTCTGGTGGTTGGTTGCATGCGGCCAAAGAACAAGAAGTTCTTTCCTGGGAAGGTGGGAACATTTTAATGTCAGGCCTGTTACACATCCAAGTGAAAAAGTTTTGCAAAAAGCAGTAGTAAATAGTAAAAAAGAGAGAAAATGAATCCTGAAGTGATTGTTTTTCTGTGGTACAGAACTGAGAACAGATTTTAAATGTACTTTGATTAATAAAAGAATCAGGTAATCAGTGAGGCAGAGGAGAAAAGAATGTTATTCAAGATTTGCGTCAGGACCTGGGGCTTGTCCCTCTCAGCTACCTTATTTCTCAGTGAAGGCTGGACTGAATTTTTATTTCAGGATCCATTCCCCCTCTGTAATTGGATATCATTTTTTTTTGTATTTGTGTGTGTGTGTGTGTGTGTGTGTGTGTGTGTGTGTGTGTGTGTGTACACATTTTAAGTTTTGGATAAATTCTAAACTTTTCAGGAGAAATAAAAATGTAAGAGCTAGATATTTGTTCCAATGGGAGAAAGAGGAAACATTATTCTAGCTGGAGGTTACATGAAATCCTAGGTTCTTAAGGATTATACACTTAAAATTGTGAGATTTGGAGCAAAAAAAAAAAAGATACAAAAGATCATAAAAGATATTCAGCCAATGATTCAACTCTAAAAATTCTACTCTGGATAAAGGCAGAATACAATTTTGTATGTATATAATAACCTCTCATATAAATGAGGAAGAAAAAACATAGAATTTTTTGGAATGTTAGAAGGAAATATAGTAACAGTTAAAATAACTATTTCTAAGAATTATATAAAGTGTAAATTTTCATTTTTTAATAATATTCTATAGTTTTCAAAAATTTTATGGTGATGAAAACAATTTAATGCAAAGAAGTTCCACTTTATGAAAACTCTCAGGCTCCATGCTCTGCGATAAGACCAGTGTCAATGGCTTGAGTTGGGGATAAAAAAAAGCAAAACAAAACCAGGCCCTGTTCTTCAGAAACACAGTGTATAGTGGGGAGGGACTCAGGCCTAGGGCCATAGAAGGGAGAGGAGGGGGGGGAGTTGAAGGGCCAGAACAATCAGAAAGGAGAAGATGTGGGACAACATTCTGCAGGTGAGGATGAGAATGGGCCAAGGCTCATGAGAGTTATAACTTTCCAAAAACAGTGAGTGGTTCACTCTGACCTTGGTGAGCCCAAAGGATGCTACGGGAAGGATCAAGAGATGAGGCTAAGCTCTAGCTGGTTTTGCTTAGTGGTTAGAGCATTGGCCTGTGGACTGAAGGGCACATGCTTGGATTGCAGGCTCGATACCCAGTAGGGTATTCTCTCTCATCATTGATGTTTCTCTCTCTCTCTCTCTTTCCCTCTCCCTTCCTCTCTGAAATCAATAAAAAAAAATATTGAGAGAAAGAGAGAGAGAGAGAGAGAGAGAGAGAGCAAGCGCACCAAGAGGGTACTTTTCATAACATTCTACGTCTGTAGCCAGATTCACAAGTTCATTTCACAAGTAGGTTATGTTAACATTTGCATTGTCTGGCAATCAGCAAGGAAAGAACCAACAGAGAGGGAGCCCAGAGGAACAGATTCACAGGAGAGATATTTGAGTAGAGCTCGATTTTATAAGTGGTCAGTTTACTGGGAAATGTGTCCGTTTTGTGACAACTTGTACTTCTCTACAGAACCTCAGAGCCTTATCTTGGCTACCAAGCACTCTTTGTGCTTTCTTTGCAATTTCCTCCAGATAAGATAAGAAAAGATAGGTTTGTTTAGTGATAGCAGAGTCTACAAATGATTGTTATGGCAGGAATAAAAGTTGGAAGATCAAAATTTGCTCCCATGTTCTGCCCACATAGGGATTTATTACCATGTGTAGCCAGCAGTAACCTTAGATTCAGAGGCCACACTTTCACTTACCCTTGGAGATCTACCATGAGGTGTTTACAGTGTTACCTTATCTGACTCTGGATTAACAAGTCCTGTTGCATTTCAGAGGCTGCCCGACAATGTCATTTCTCAGAACAAGGGAGTATCACGGGTCAATCTTAGAAAAATAACCCAGAAGTGAGGTATCCAGAAGTGGGGGGTAAGGGTTGACTGAAGTTGGGGAGGGTGGAATAGAGGAGAAACAACATCAATCGGGCATAAACGGGGGAGGAGTTGGAGGAGCTCACACTCCATGGATAAGATTAAGTTCCCAATCAGCCATATTCTCAGGATAAAAGTGAATGGCGTAACATCCTGAATGTGCCAATCATGTCTCCAACCAGAAATGGACCAAAGTCCATCCCCTGCAGCCTTTGGTGGTCTTCAAATACACATTTATATTTACCATATCTTCCCTTATAGGTGATGGAAAATAACTATTTTGCTGGCCAAAGTAGACTCTGAGTCCCTAGAAAAAAAGGGACCACACATCTTATTCATCTTTGTATGTTCACCCCCTTTTCCTTCTCCACCATTTGCTCTATTTCTCTTCCTTGCACACAATAGATGCTCAACAATTTGTTTACTGAATTGAACCCAAGCCTTCCAGTCAACATGAAGTCTGATGTTCACAAAGAAAGGGCATGGGAAGCCATACCAGAAAAGAATTACAGCCCTGCGATTTAATTCTTCTGTAAGTCTAAAGTTAGAGAGAAAAGGACAAAAGGGTAGTCTTCCCAGCTTAGCAAGGTTATATGGTCCGAGAAACAATAGACCTTTAGACCTCTTACCCAACCCTGCTTTTAGAATAGAACTGAACATACCAATCTGTCAGCAGCCAAGGGGTGATGTAAAAGGATGTTCTTGATGTTTAACATTCCCAAATTCCTTCTCATACTATGAAAGCAAAGAGATCTATAATCATCCTTTCCTGGTTTGAAGATTTCCAGGGACTGCTCATATTGCAAACCAGTAACACTATCCAATAGAAGATGCCTCATTAATCACTAAGAAGTTGGAAAGGTCCTGACAAGAGATCTCTTGACTTCAGAATTGTTAAGATCTTTTTCAACTGCCCAGTCGTTTTCCACAACAATATCTGCATCTAGTGCCTTCAGTGTAGGGACACAGAGAGGTCTCTACAGCTTTAATGCAGGAAATCTGCTTCCTTTCCCAAAGTGCCAACCTGACAAATAGCCTCCTAAACATACCTTAAAGAATCCATGATAGTTGCCTTCAAAACAAACTAAATAACTTCAATTTTTCTAATACCATTTCAGGCATAATTATTCTGCTACTAATCATTATTTTACTCTGTTCAAGCTCAAGAAGAAATAACCCAGGACAACTTCAGGTCCTTTGTAATGTTCATTAATCTTTCAATGATCTTTGTATATATTATCAAGAACTGAGCACTGACCTAATTACATGACCATCATCAACATTCTAGGCTTCTGTGTCATCTGAGTCAGTCTAATAATCCTCTGTTTAAATCAAGTACAAAAGTATGACAGATGCTGTCCCAATCCTCAATTGCTTTATGCTAAATCAACATTCTTAGCAGTCACTGCCCAGTATTTAAATACTCAATACTAAGTAACTCCATCCGACAGATCCAAGCGTTAGGCCACCACTTAGGCATGCATTTAGTAGCTGATTCACCATGGAGGACCCATTGGGATGATGTTTTACTTAAAGTCAGCTATTACACTGCACCAAGTCAGAGTTTTCTTTCAATCAAGGCATTAAATTATTACTCTCTCTTCTATTTTCCAGAATAAGAGCAGTTTTGGTTGTTTTGTTTTGTTTTTTTTTCTCATCTCACTGGGACAGAATCAGATAACTCAATCAAATCTCAAGTGGGGGAGAAGATGTAGTTTTCATAGGTGTCTTTTCAGCCAGGTCTGCAGTGTGGGGGAGGGAGAGGTGCGGGTGGAAGGGGGAAAGGGTCTGGGCCTCCTGAGCAGAGTAGAAGACCAGGTCCTACCACAACCAAGTGTTGAGAGCCTCCTTCCAGCAGCCCAGAATGGGAACTTGGGAAAAAACTCAATCCTGACTGCAATCCAATAGCAGTAGTTCACCAAAACCCCATAAGACTCGAGAGAGAGAGAACCTAGAGAACTGGCTAACTGTTCCTTCTCTACAGTCCCACATTGTATCTGTGTGAAGACAAAGAGGAGCAAAGGAAAGAGCATTTGATTTCGTCCTGGGATGACAGGTCGTTATCAGGCTGTGAGTGGATTTCACACATTCACCCTTTCGCCAAGGTCCAGGCTGGGCAGTCCATGTAATCAGTCCCTGTATGGACTACGGACGTGCACAGTGAGGATGTTGTCCTGTGTTACCTGATGTCTCCCTCATAAGGACCCATACCATAATCTCCACCTGAGTATCCAAACTCAAACTAAGGAAAACAGTGTAGCTTGCCTTTCTCATTTTGCCGTATTTATCATTAAATTCAGCGAACTTCGGTACCTAACCAGAGCAATCTCAATGAAATCATGTGAATGCCTGTTTATTCATCTCCATCTAAATGGCCTTTGTTCTGTGTTATCCTTTGTGAATGTTATATTCAATCTTGTAAGCAACTTTAAACCATATGCTAGAGATATGTAAAATAAGCCATTCTTGGCTAACTGTCTATCTTTCCTGGAACAATCTTACCTGCATATGAGCCTATTTTTCACCAACGCTGTAAAGATCTCCTGAAATAGTTGATGCTGGGGATGTTTGCTGAAATTCCTCTCATTCTTGTAGTTTATACTGACATGAAACAAACAGAAAAGTATTTCATAGCAAAAAATTATTTAGGATGCCACAAAGTTACCAAAGAATAATCACCCGTATTTATGCAAACGTTCAGGGATTCTTGGATTTTAATATAGTGTCAAAGGCAAGTATCAGTTATTAAAAAAAGGAAATAGAAATGCAGTTATAAAGTTAATATTAAAATCACAGGCAAGCATATATATTTCATTTTACCACATTAACTTATGGCCTATAAACACTTAATAGCTAAAATTGGTCAGAGGAATGAGATGAGAATGTGGAAAGAATGACTGGGGCACATTATTTAGACAGCTGAGCAGTACTTAGAGAATTCCTCCCTTCATTTTTCTACCCACAGTGATCTCGATGGCTACTATAGCTATTAACCCCAGGGGTTGTCACACATATTTCCTTGTAGATAGTGAGAGTTTCTGGTTGCTGATTGTATGTGTGTGTGTGTGTGTGTGTGTGTGTGTGTGTGTGTGTGTTTAACAAAGTCCAGCTCCATCTTCTTTTTTCTGGTATTACAGCCATCAGAAGTAAAAAAAAAAAATACCCCACACATTACACTTTAGAACTAGGAGAAGATAAGCGATAACTGTACAAAAGGGTCACATTGCTACAGAAGCTATAGTACATTTTTGTGCAATGTTAAAGTAGACCAGCTTTAAGATCTAGGCCTAATAAGCTGTGATCACATAAACATACCACCTCAAAGGCAATCACTAGATGGCCAACTGTACTGTCTGCCTTTGCAGGTAACAGTGGACAGGGTGTCCCTCCCCTGCCGAGTACCAGTGTCCATGTACTAAGTCACCGAGGGTTATAATGGTGTCTTAGTACATTGGACACTGGTAGACTGAATATGTAACCATTTTTAAAGAATTTAGCGTCCCTCACTAAAACTATATTTTAAACATATGAACTTTTAACATCATGTGACTTTTGTGAACTATTAAATTCACTGTCATAAAATGACGGGGAAACAAAATCTAGACCAAATAAATAAATGATCCTTCTACAATATTCATGTTGACATTTCACGTCACTCACTATTTATGTAGCACTTAGTGCCAAATGACCTTCGTGCACCCTAAGACTGACAGAACCAGCTCCTGGGAGGGGAGTGGCCATGGGAACATACAGCTTCTAGAAGCTCTGCATGGCGATAGGAGAGACAAACCAGGGCTGACACGGACAGGGTTAAAGGTGAAGTGCAAGCCCTTCATTTGAAAACCTCTGTTGGTTGGACAACCATAGTCTTTAGCCACCACATCTGTCCATAGCCATTGGTTATTTCATTTCTCCTCATCGCCAGCGAAGTGAATCACACGACGCTGAAGACAAAGCTTGGAATCAGCCTCAAAGGGTCAACACCTTGGAGCCACTTGCCAATTGCATGTCACAGAGCAAATGCCAATTGCGTGTCACCAAAGTGTCCCGAAGCTCCCAGTTTCACCGGCAGCCAGTAAGCCTGTGATTCACGCCCTATTTCTGGGAATTGTTTAGACACTGACGAAAATGATTAAGAATCCTCATGGTAAATTTTGAAATGGGTTTTAAATGTCAGCTAACTTGATAAGCTTACACAAAGCTTTGGGCTAATTAGAATAGGTTGCTAAAGGCAAGGGACATCCTGGATTTCTTACCTAAAATTCTCAAGTTCAACAGCTTCGGTGGACTCGTGCCACTGACCTCGAGCTCTGTGTCCACCCTCCTTGATGGCGGGCTCAGACCTCGTCATGCTATTTTGGGCACTATCGAAGGTAATGGCTGGAAGCTACAGAAATAGAAGCACAGAGAGCACAGAGTACGTGAGGATAACAATTCAGCCCAGGATAATGAAAGTAACCAAAAGAAGGAGGGGAGAGGGAAAAGAATGAGTCTTTCTTCAAACCAATAGTTAACATGATAGCCATGCCCAATGGAGGCCTTTTCCGAGATTGAAGGCCATTGACTTAAACACCATTTACTCTTTCTATCTCAGACTGCTTCCTTTCCTTTCACACCTCCTGTCATATCTTAGCTACTTATGCATTTTCAGTCTCCTTTGATTAAGTGTCAGCTGGAAGTAAGCAGGAACCGGCCTGTTGCGGTCCAATGCCAGATCCCCCCCACCTTGAACAGTGCTGGGACACAGGTCTGCACAAGGGCATTGGGATATTTTGGAGTTTCTCAGGTGATTCAAATGTGCAACCAGGTTGGGGAGTTTCAGGATCTAGATAGAACACTCTTGTGTAGAGAGTGGAGCCCCAAACTGAAAGTCATCATTTGTTCATTCCATAACATCCATCCATCCAACATTTACCAATCATACAACATTACTTGGCAGGTGCAATGGATATAAAGGTAAAGAAGATTCTATCACTTTTAATTAAGTCTTAACATCATGAAATTATCTATAATAATAAAAGGGTCATATGCTAATTAGACCAGACGTCTTCTAGACGTCACTCCGGACTTTCTTCCTGATAAGCTGGGCCGGAGGGAAGCCCAGGTCCTAGGTGCCTGCTGATGACCAGAGGAGGGAAGCCCGGTCCCGGACATCTATCAAAACCTTTGGCTCAATGGATAGAGCGTCGGCTTGGGGACTGAAGGGACCCGGGTTCAATTCCGGTCAAGGGCATGTACCTTGGTTGCGGGCATATCCCCAGTAGGGGGTGTGCAAGAGGCAGCTGATCGATGACTGTCTCTCATCGATGTTTCTAACTCTCTATTTCTCTCCCTTCCTCTCTGTACAAAATTAATAAAATATATATATTTTTTAAAAACCTTTTATTTTCAAAGCATTTAATTGACCTGTCACTAATTAATTTATTTATTCTATTGTTTATTGAAAACCAATTTTTCAGCTCCCTATGGCTCTAAATGTGTGTGTGTGTATGTGTGTGTGTGCAGGGGGATAGGGGGAAGGGGGTACTGAAATTCCAACTCTAGGCAGATTATTTCAAGGTTTGTGAAAAATGGCCTAGCCTAAGTAGCTTAGTGGTTAAGTTTCGACTTATGAACCAGGAGGTCACGGTTCAATTGCCAGTCAGGCCAAATGCCCAGGTTGTAGGCTTGATCTCTAGTGTGGGGCGTGCAGAAAGCAGATGATCAATGATTTTCTCTCATCATTAATGTTTCTCTCTCTCTCTCCTTCTCCCTTCATCTCTAAAATCAATAGAAAATAGAAATTAAAAAAAAAAAAGATTTGTGAAAACCTCTGGTGAAATCTCCAACCAATTTTGTAATTTCTCTTTGTTACAACAAATCTGAAGCAACTATTTTCCTGGAATTATTTGGCATCACTGGGTTACGATCATTCTAGCCTTGCTTACGAGGAAAGCAGGTGTACATCTGCCTCAGTGTGTGTCACACTGGGGGACCCTCCTACAGAGCAGCAGACGCTAATGTGGTGACGAGCAAACAGGACAGACAGCGAAGGCAGACACTGGAACACAGGAAGCAATGAGGTTAAGTGGCCGGGCTCATTAGACTCAGATGAAGGACACTCAGTTCTTGCAATTCTCTGCCCAAACCCACAAAGTATATTTCCTCTTCAACTGGTTAGCTGGCCATCTTGGCCCATTTACAAATAACAGGCCAGAACTTGCTGGAACCTAAATTCAGGTGAGTGGGTCTTAACCCCAAGTTTCTATTTTCAAACCGACTGCTACTCCAAGTCTCAGAACCATTGTGTGGGCCGCTTACACATTTTTTTCCACTTTTTTTTATTTATTAATTTCTTTATTGATTAAGGTATCACATATTTGTCCTCAACTCCCCATTCCAATTCCCACCCCTCCCCACTCATGTCCTCACCCCCCTATTGTCCTTGACCACTGGTTAGGCTCATATGTGTGCATACAAGTCCTTTGGTTGATCTCTCCCTTTTATCCCCACCCTCCCTTTGAGGTCCAACAGTCTGACCCATAGCTCCTTATCTCTGGGTCTGTTCTTGTTCATCAGTCTGTGTTGTTCACCATTTCCCCTAGATTAGTGAGATCATGTCCTACTGGAAATATACTTAAAAGAATAAAAAATGAGACAAGCAATAATCGTTATGCTGAAAGCATATGCATCAGTCTGTAGTGAGCTTCTTTCTGGGCCACCAGTTCTTTTGAGACCCAATTTCAATGTCAAACAGTTCCTTATGTGTACATGTCAGTAATGATATTTCAGTTCTGGATTGTGGGCAAATGGTGGTAATGCAGATCCAACCCACTTACACATTGTGATGGGCATTTCTGCCTCTGACTCTACTTCGCTATGACCTTGTTTTCCTTCCTTCTTGGTCCTGGTTTAATTAATGGTACCCTGTCATACTTGATAGATCTTTATAAGCCTCCTTACTGGAACAAGTAAGATATAAATAAATTCTTGATTGATTCCCTCCAATTTCTTTCTTCTCCTATAAATGCCTCTACGCTATTTTATGGACAGGAGAATAGGGTGTTCAGAATAAGATTGATTATTTTAGAATTTAAAATGAATGAAAGTTTTATACACAGAATTAGGAATGGATTTCGTGAACCTTGGGGATCTTCACATAGCTAAGTGGTTATTTTTCATAGAATCATCTGAGTAATTGAAACATTACAAACACATTTTTGTACATGTGAACTATTTCACAAAAAGATAAAGCCATATGAACTTGTCAAACAACAGATTGCAAATTCTAAAACTGGTTTTAAGCGGGGAGGGAAACTATTCAATTCCCTTTCATTGACAGCCAAGTGTTGAAAGGGGACACAATAGATCTAGTGCAGCATGAGCTTCAAAGGTGGCAAACTACTGCCAAAACCACCACTGGTGATTGTTTTACCCTGGTGAGAGGGTTGTCATACATACCCATGTAGTAACCCGATTCTTAAGACAGTTCAATTTGGCAAAACCTGACCAAGAATTCACAGAACAGAGGATACAGCAGAGCAGAGGCATAAGTCAAAGTTGTTGGCATTGGGAAATCTATCATCTTGCCAGGAAATTAGTCACATAGACAAGAGTTTCCAAAACAATGGAGAAAATAATGCTCCGAGCGGAAAGATGGTGCACTGAGAAGAGAAAGGTGTAATTACTTCTAGAATGGAAGATACAGGGAAAGCTTTTTGTGGAGGTGGCATCACTAGAGTTGAGTCTTAGAAATAGGTAAGAAATTCGGGAGAAAGGAATAGAAAGAAAAGGTAGAAGTCTGACAATATGCTAACAACCTGCAGTGAGAGAGAATGGGAACTACAACCAAAACTGCATGCTGAGTCATCCTGCTCACCTTACTAAGGAAGAATGGGCTGGGTTTGGGGCAATGATTCATGCAGGTTGTGAGCAGTGAGCCAGAAGGATACTAAGCTGTGTTAAGACAGACAAAGGGTAACAGTGACTGCTGAAATGGGTGTGTGAAAAGGAAGGAGTTACTGCGAGGGGAGTGAGGGTGTAGCATTAGTAACAGAGAAGAAGGAAGTGATAGGAGAAAAAATATCTTAAGGCCACGTTTACTCCAAATCAGAACTTACTCAACTACTTTTTTAACGGTACATGATTTCATTTCCCACGTCGTTTAAAAGGTACCTCAGTGGTTAGAGGCACACATTGCAGAGGTGGCATGTCTGAGTGCAGATCTGACTTCTACCATTAGCTGTCTGTGTGATCTTGGGAAAGTCACCTAACCTCTTTGAGCTTCTGGCTCTTTACCTGTGAAAGTGGGAGCTTTGGTTGTTAAGCAGGGTAAGGCAGGAAAAGCATCAGGTGCATAGTAAGTGTTCCCTAAAATGAACTATCATTATTTGGCCTTTATTTGCCATCAAGTCATTAGAAAGTCATTCTCTGCTATAAATAATAGATAGAAATGCTGTAGTTCTCTGCAAAGTTCAGTTGATATAGCAAAGGCCATAGATGTTGGGTTAGCACCACATAAGCTCTTAAACAAGTGAAAGGAAAATAGCATAGCAGGTTTTGAAGCCATGCCACCACAGTCAAGTCCTATCCCAGCCATTTACTAGTTAACAGTGCTAAGTAAGTGTCTTCTATTATTATTATTATTATTATTATTATTATTATTATTAGCACTGCTGGGTTGTTTCCCAAACCTCCAGGGATGGCGTTTAATCTCATGACTCTCCAAAGTCTTACAGAAGCAAAACAAAACAGAAATGTGTCCAGATAAATTCCTTTTTCTATCTAATAAAAATATAAAAATACTATTATAAAAATAGCCCAACTCACTCCTCTCCCCTCTTTTCAGTAAGAGACAACTGGCAGCAATCCTCAAGAGTGTTGCCGTAGCAGGTGGGCAGCATGAGGGGAGTGAAGAGGAGAAGAAGAGAAATATGGTGAAGAGTATATAGCTCTGAAGACTTGAACATTGGGCATTCAATAGAAGACATGCTGTTTCCAGACCTGAGAGCTTTGGTAATGAGGACACATGGCAACAAGCATAGAATAGGGCAGGTCTGAGGTCTCAGAGGAGAAGAATGAAAAGACAGACTATTGATGCCAAGTCTTGGCAGGTATGAGAGACACAACCGGGTGAAGAAAGACAAAATATGCAAAAGAGAAAAAAGAGAAATAGGCATATCATTCATAAAGATGTTGAATGGATCCTTTTGGGAACACATGATTTCCTTTTTATTGGAAACCCTACCTGTTGTTTGCTTGACTGGACGTTCAAAAGGCACCGAAGTCTTTTAAGATCTGAATAGTCCCTAGGAGAGAGAATAACACAATGTCAGCCAGCAGAAGACTCCAAATGAACTCGCATGTCACGCACTGATGGCACTGCCACCTGGAGGCCTGCTTTTATGGACAGAAACAGGCACACTAAACACTTTCTTTAGAACTTTGCAAATGGTCACACATTACAGTCAACACCGCAACCCAGAGTAGCAGTGGTCCAGGGTCCACGCTATTTCTCAGAAACCTATTAAATCCGGGTGCTGGCCACTGCTTGCGTTAATAATTAGCAAAGACTCAGTTACCTGGTGGTGGTGGTTCCTTGCTGCTTTTTGTCGGTTGATTTTTCTGTCTTCACCTTTCTGTCTTGATCAGGCATTGTAAGATGTCAACGCCCCAGAATTAACATTGCATTCCTTTCAAAGTAAACCGGAGGGAAAAACTTTAGTTGGGTTGGATGCTCCAAAATATTCTCAGTTAATACAGCCCAAGTCACTTATAACATTTATTTAAATATGCAAAAAACAAATGTTAATATGAATACCATTTACTATTGTCATCCGAAGGCCTCTGGGTACGTTTAGAGAATGAAGGGTTTATAGCAGTGGTCGGCAAACTCATTAGACAACAAAGCTAAATATCAACAGTACAGCAACTGAAATTTCTTTTGAGAGCCAAATTTTTTAAATTTAACTTCTTCTAACGCCACTTCTTCAAAATAGACTCACCCAGGCCATGGTATTTTGTGGAAGAGCCACACTCCAGGGGCCAAAGAGCCGCAGTTTGCCGACCACAGGTTTATAGTACTCCAGAGCCCATATTTTCTAAGTTATCCTTGATTTCAAACATTCTGACCCATAGCTCCAATAAGTATTGTTCTGCATATCAGGAAAAATGTCCTCATTTGGAGTTTCAAAAGTATGTATATCTTTAAGCAAATGCCTACATCGCAACTGATGTTGCTATTATGCCTTCTTACTTGTCTTTCTTGACATTCTTGACACGTATCCTTGACGATAGCTGCTAGTTAGGGGTTTCTCCCTCATCACAGATCATGTCCATAAGAGTCCCAGAGAAAGCCTCATCCACTTGCAAATAAGCATTACAAAGTCTAGAGTAACAGAATGTCCTTGGATTTCCAGAATTCCTAACGTGTTTGAGTGCCACCTGAATCCCCACGTGGATCAAATCCAGTCATACGCTCTCCTGCAGCAGTTGCACAGGCCCTGGACTCACTCAACCATCTTGTTAAAAACAACTCAACAGACCCAACATGGAGTCACTTATGCTAAGCCCCATGTTACTGAACCAAGACATAATTACATCTCAACTCTCCCGGAAGTGGGAACTTAAACCAACATTAGTTAGGTAATCTACCGGACAAACTCCTACCATCCCCTTTCCGTAAAGCAGCCTTGCGATAGCCAGCCTGCTTTCTGCCTAGCACAACTTCCGCATTCCTGCTCCGCTCTGCTATAAAAGTCTTTCTATTTGCACAGAAACTTAGAGCTCCTGTCTGTCTGATAGATTGGATGCTGCTGCCCAATTTATAAACTGCTGAATAAAACCAATAAAAAGTTTTAAAATTTACTCAGTTGAATTTTGTTTTTTGAACAAGTGGGAGAGTGTACCTCAAAATACAACCCAAAAGGTATTTCAGTCTTCTGAATGAAGATTTGTGGTCATTGTCAACTTTCCAGGGTCAATTTTAGTACTATTTCCCACCCCCACTCAAAATATGAGTTCACAAATGGGCAGAACAATTTATTTGTTTGCTTTTTTTACCCTTAACAAACTTCTCATTCAATTGTTTTAGTTTCCAGAATAGAAACAAAAAGGAAGCTGGAGATACCCAGACTTTCAACTCTATAGCAAATATATAATTAAGTATACTATCAGTTTAATTTGACTGGATGCACATGTTTCCACTGCCATAGCTTGGCTTCACGGTGTGTTTTTTAGGCATGAAAACGCATGCATTACTGTCTTATAACTGCATTCCTTGATGTATTATGAAATCAATGGTCAGCATCCAAGTGTTTCAGAAGTATTTAGAGGCAAAAAGAATTGCCAATGGATATTCCACCACAATAGAACCTAGTAAAATTTAATTTTGTGAGATGTACTGACCATTAAGGAATTAAAAATTATTTTCCCAATATAGTTGTCATATTGGTGACAAAGATTGGAGCTGAAATTAACTGGAGACCAAGTCTCTCATCACAGATGCACACCAAGAAAAACGCATCACTGATATTTATGATTGTGCCTAGGACATAACATTATGGACTCAGCCAATATTTATTTACTATGTCTAATCTCAGACAGAAAACTGTTAAAGGTAAAAGAGGCTAGCACAATTTTGTGATTCTACTACAAGCAAAGAAAAACCTCCTTGAGAAGTTTAAAATATGATATGTATGATATTCAGCTAGAGATTTGAATTAGCATCGGCTATCCTCAGAAAGAAAGGAAGGCAGGGAGGAAAGAAAGAGGATGGAAGAGAGGAAGAATGGATGATCTGTAAATTATTCCATAAGCCTGGCCAGTGTGGCTCAATGGTTGAGCATCAACCTATGAACCAGGAGGTCATGGTTTGATTCCCAGTCAGAGCATATACCGGGTTGCAGGCTCGATTCCCAGTGGGGGGCGTGCAGGAGGCAGCCGATCAGTGATTCTCTCTCATCACTGATGTTTCTATATCTCTCCTCCTTTCCCTTCCTCCCTGAAATCAAAAAAATATTTTTAAGTCATTCCTTAAAACCAGAAAATCCAAGTCCTTTTTATAAACAGATATTAAAATACCCCAAAAAGGTCTAAAATAAATGGAAATCCAGTCAAAATAAATAAAATCTAATTTTACTTTTCCCTCAATGACAGAGGGAAAATTCCACATACACAATCGACCCTTTGGCTTCCCATTCCTGCCAGACCTTAGCTGCAGACTGTTTTACAAATAGGGAGTGAGAGCTACAGAGATTAGCACGTGAAAATGGGTGGAAAAGCTCACAGCTTCTTCTGCTAGAGATTACATCCTTGGCAGGCAAATCCTGCTAAACACCTATCTGACTCCCCTGCTTAATCTCCGTAATGTCATTGACCGGTGTATGAACAGGAAATAATCAGCTAATAGTTTTATCAGTTTAAGATTTGCATTTACCCTCTGAGTTGGAAGAGTGAAAATAAATAACTCCTTGGAAATGTCTCACTTAATTGAACAGTAAACAAATCCATCAGAATCAGTAGAAACAGACAATTGACTTTATGATAAAATAAAAAAATAAAAATCCCTTCCACTTGATGGCTGTTAATATATAAACTGTTCCAAAAAAATAATAACTTAGAGAATTTGGGAAAGCTTTAAAATATATCCTCTGATTTTTATTTTACTTCTTAAATGAGGACACTATCCCAGTGGTTATAATCTCAGAATGGGGCCGGGAACCAGGAGGCAGGCTTGGTGGCGGGGAGAGCAGTTCAGAGCTCCAGTCAAGCTGCCCAGAGGAGACAGCTGAGTGAAAAGTGTTACCAAGACAGGTCCAGCCAGGGTGCTCGCTGCGGCAAGAGCTCGCTCTCCAGAGGGTAGATTCAGCCTGGATCCCAGGAGAACTCCACAGGGTACAGGCTCTGCCTCAGAGCTGTCTAAGGCCAAGGGAAGGGAGCTGGGCTTCTGTGCTCCTGTCGCCTTCAGTCACTGCTTAGGGGCCACCAAGAGAGGTCATGTCTCCCAGGCACTCCTGCCTGGGGACTGAGGAGCCCCTAATAGCTTGGGGGGGGGAGTGGGGGGAAGGAGGGTGTCCTCCAAAACAGAGATACAGGAACTAGCTGTTAGAAGCAAAAGGACATTGAAGCCAATGCCCAGGACAGACAGACAGGCATAGGGGATGGGAGAGGCTGTGTGTGGAATGCCCATGTGGTCCACTGAGATCACCGTCTCCAGTGGAGGAGCTGTTTGTGATGAGGGAACAAGAATCTTGACTGTGGCTACGGGCTGAGCCCGAGCCTCCTGCAGTATCTCTCAACTAATGAGTCCCAGGTCCCTGCTCCTTAGCTTGGCCTCTCCAGATACCAGCATGACCTTGTGGCCTAGCAGTCAGCTTGATCTCCGGCCCTCTTCTCTTCTCTATCAACCTGCTTCTCCATAAGGGATCTCTTGCAGCCCCATGGCTTTCTAATTCCAAATGTATCTATAAATTATTCCTTAAGCCTGGCCAGTGTGGCTCAATGGCTAATATACGGGCAGCCCGAACCCCATCCTGGGCTTCCCCATGCGCAGTCGTCCCCTGGGTGTCTAATGAGCATCCCAAATGTAACACACCCCAAACAAAACCCTTGAACCCCACCCCTGGACCATAGGCCCTCATCTAGTCATTGGCACCGCCCAGCTAGTCTAGACAATGTTCTCCAACCCTCTCCTTCACCGCCCACATTGCAGCCACCACCAAGACCAGGCAGCAGGCTTCCCCTCATCTCCACTCCAAACTATTAGCTGATTATTTCCTGTTCATATACCAGATACAGCTATTGCCTGTACTCGGAGTCACTGCAGCTCTTGCCTGGATCACTGTCATCACTCCTCATCAGTCTCTCTGTTCCCACCCTCGCTCCTCTAAATCTGCAGGAGCTCGTGGGGTTGGTTTAAAATGGGAATCGGCCTGGCTGGTGTGGCTCAGTGGTTGAGTGTTGACCCATGAACCAAGAGGTCCCCAGTTGGATTCACAATTAGGGCACATGCCCAGGTTTTAGCTCCATCGTCAGTGGAGGCATGCAGGCGGTCTCGCCCACTCTATCCTTCTCCCTTCCTCTCTCTCTAAAATCAATAAAATTATTTTTTAATACAAAATGACTAACGTGCGAAGCAGATCCTCCCACTCTGTAATTTACAACCTTCCTGTGGCCTTCCCTGCTGCACTTGGCTCCTAACCTGGACTTTCACCTCGGAGTTCTTCTAGCCTCTTCTTCCCTCTTGCTTACTCTACGGCAGCCCTGCTGGCTTCTCCCCAGCCTCATTCCTGCCTGAAAGCCTGGGTCCTTGCCATTCGCTGCTCCCCTCTCATGTTCTCTGGCAGGCTCCCTCGTGTCATTCAGCTCTCAGCTCAGATATCCCCTCCTCGGTGAGGGGTCCCCTGGCCAATCTCTACAACATATTCACCCCCACACACCCACTTGGACCACCTCCCCGTGTCTGGTTTTCTTCTGGAGCTCATCAACATCAGAAACCCTCCTGTCCATCTCTTGATTTCCTTGAACAAGATCATAAGCCCCATGTGACAGAGATTGTGTCTGTTTTATGCACAAATACATCCCCAGCACACAGAACAGCACTTAGAACAGGGCACGGCACAGTATAAAGACTCAAAAAAATACTTGTCAGAAACA